CAATATTTCTAGCTCTTTTCTGAATTCATTCAGAAGTTTATCCCTATCTTCCTTCAGTTCTTTGATTTCATTGTTTGTGTGTTCTTTAAATTCACTGAATTCTTTTGTCATGTTTATAATTGTTCTTTTGAGTTCCATGTCCTGCATTATGTCTAGAGAATTCTCACTATACTCCCAGAGGACTATTGGTATTTGGTGGGGATATGTTATTTTGGTTTTTTATGTTATTATTTTTTCTGTGTTACTTTGACATGTGCATTTCTTTTGTAGTTTCTGATTCTTGTGTCAGGTGTAAGCCTTCAAGTTTAGGTCTGCTTCTTTTTGTGAACTTTATGTGTCTTTGTGGTTTACTTTTTGGGCATGAAAAGCTGGTTCATCTAAGCTTCCAGTTCTCTCTTTAGATTTTATATTGGAGTGGCCAGATTGTTTTTGTCTTCAGGAGTTCTCACAGAGGCCCAAGTCAGATGAGGATCAGATGCTTTCTGACTTTCTCCTAAGGTCTGGATCCCCCTAGGAAAGATTTTGGCCTCAGGAATTTGGAGGTTGGACTGGCTTGGGAGCCGGGCCCAGGGAAGATGCTGGTCTAGGGCAGCTGGTGGCCATGCCACCTAGAGATGCAAAGGCAGATGGTGGTGGGAAGCAGTTTCAAGGGCCGCAGGGGACTGCACTGAGGAGCTGGGTTTGTCTGGATGCAAAGGATCAGGAAGAGGAAAGGTCCGCACCCCCCCCCCCCCCCCCCACCAGGAAAGAGGCTGTCAGGTGGTGGGGGCCCAGGGAATCAGAAGGAGGTGAGGGCGGAGCCAGGCCCAGAGACAGTGCTCTTGGGTACCAGAGAAGGCACTGACTTGGTCCTGATGAAAAGGTTAGGAAGCAGTAGTGGTTCCCCAGGTGTCTGGGGCCCAAAGACAAAGAATGGGACAGAACCCAGGCTAGGAGCAGAGATAGGCGGGGAACATGGGAGGGTGAATGAGGGTGGGGGAGTCAAGGAGCAGAGGACAAGATGGACTTACCCTGGAGAGAGGCCTGTGGGTTGGAGAGCTAAAAACAGTTTTTTTTAAAAAAAAAATCAAGGTAATTGGAAAATATCTACTCCAAAATATTCTCAGTTTATAAATATATAAGCTTGGCAGAGAAGTACCATGATTTAGAAGGCTAACTGGTAGTTTTGTGGAGAGTGGGAATGGGAGATGAGATGAAAAGACTGATAAATAACAATTAGCATCTAATTTTTTGATTTATTTGTTTTTATGTGTGTATTTTACCTGCACATATGTAAAGGCACCTGTATTGTGCAGTGCCCATGGAGGCCAGAGAAAAACTTCAGATCCCCTGGAGTTATGGAAGGGTGTTAGCTGGGAACTGAACCTGGGTCCTCTGCAAGTGTAGCCAGTGCTCCTAACTGCGGAGCCATCTCTCCAGCTCCACTAATTAGCATTTGAGTTCAATAAAGAATTTGGTAATAATTTGGTAAGTATTCAATAATGAATATTTTGTATGGGCCTACAGCATGCCAGGTCCTGAATATACAAGCTTAGCTCTGACCTTGAGTTTGTGGTTTAGTGTAGAAAGAAACACTAATTGACCATTTCAACACAAGTATCATAGCCCAGTTCCAGAGTATGCCAAAGGTGTGCATGCTGAGAGGAGAGAGGAAGCTCCAGCAGCTGGACCTACACAAACTTCCAGTGACATTGAGGGAGTGAAATATTTACAGTCCTTAGGTAAATCTGAGCTCTATACTAATAGTTCCTAACACGGTGGTGTCTTGGAGCCAAAGAGACTAAAGATCATTTCAAGTGTTTTGGAATATTTGCCACAGCTCAGTCAGCCCTCATACCTGCATTTATACTGTGTGTGACTGATGTCTGGACATCCACTATTCTAAACTGCGAATCAAAAAAGGAGGACATTAAATTTCAGGACCACATGCCAGTATCACATCTATAACTAATGGTTGTTCTTCATTTTGTGAATCTCTCTCTCTCTCTCTCTCTCTCTCTCTCTCTCTCTCTGTGTGTCTAAACACTGTTAGCTCACTGCTTAGAGGAGCAGTCTGCCCTGCTCTGGTGATGCCTTTTTGGGCTGAACAAAGGCCAGTACTGTTTAATGGAACTTTGATTACTCTGTGAACCAGCAGCTGATAGAAAAATAATAAAGACTGACGATCTTTTACACTCAACACTTTGAAAACCATATTCCTTAGTTTTCATCCTGATTCCAGAGAGGATTTAAATGAGGTAGATAGATGGTCATTGAGGTTAGAGTTGCTCTGTAGACCAAAAGGCTGTTATTACTTCCATTACAGTTTAATAAATATTGTATTATTTCATCTTACTTTTTAAAGAGCCAATGAAGAAAAGAATAACAATACCCAGTGTTAGTCTGGGAATATAAGAGAACCACTCTTTTAGAATGTTTAGCATGTGCAAGGACTTGGATTCAGTTCTCGGCACCTGCAGGGGAGAAAAAGAAAAGAAAAAAGTATTCTGGTGGTGGTTTCTTCAGAGATTAATTTAACAAATGTTTCAGAAGAATTAAAAAGGCATCCAGTAAGGTAATTGGATAGGTGTTTGAAGGTGACTATAAAGTAGTACTGGATATTAGAAAAACATTAATTCTGCTAAAATTAAATACATAGTTGGAATTGTTCATTATATGAAAAAATAGAAACCACTGCAAAAGAATAAAGGTTGATCTAATTTAAAGTATGGAAGAGCACACAGTAAAGTGATTATCTGTGTGGGCTGTTCTGGGAGCATACCTAGCACTGGAATTGTGCTCTGCAGTTTACTGAGTTCTGATACATCTCTGTTAACTCCTAGCATCACTTTTGAGGATAAGCAGGTACTTCCTGTAGTCAATAAGTGACCAGCAAGATTGAAAACCAGTTTTACTTTTACCTGAAAAGAACTAGGGCTTCTTCTTCTTTCTTTCTCTCTCTCTCTCTCTCTCTCTCTCTCTCTCTCTCTCTCTCT